TCAACTCTCTCAAACATGCCTTCCGGCATCGATGCTCCGCCACCTTCTTGGCCTGTAGTGCCAGCATCATACCATTTTCTGAAAACATTCAAGAACTCTAAGAAATTCAATATAACTGACCTCAAAACTCTCAAACATGCGCTCGTTGGATTAGCATCTATCCACACGAAAAATCTTTCTGGATGTCCTTGAGGAGTCAGAGGGGTCACAGGATTGAGGACTGCTGCCTTGGAGCCTCAGCCCCACAACTATCGCACTTCCCAAAACTCCAATCAAAGCTTCAACATAACTGGCATCGTTCAACTGTCAAAAATCTCAAACATGCGCTCGTTGGAAAACTCTCAAAGCTCTCAAAACTCTCTATGTACTCTGAGTCCACTGCTTTCCTCCTGCTTCGCTTCCTCCTTCCCTTCCTGCTTCCTTGGTCCATCACCTTCGCGGACAACACTCTCAAAACTATTGTTTCAACTGAAATTGTAAGTCTCAACTGTCAAAACTCTCAACAACTCTCAACTCTCAAAACTCTCAAAACTCTTAGCTTTGTTTTTGTTCTTGATTTAGACAGGCCTGGAGCTTGATCATGTGTAGCGACATCTTAGTACCAAACACATTCAAAATAGATTGTCAGTATGCCAGGTAGTGCAGCTCTCAAAACTCTCTATACACTCTGAACTTTTCAAACACCAAGCTCTCCACCCTGTTGCTTAGCCGGCTTTGGATCTGAATCACACCAGCATCACAACATTTTCAGGACACATTCAAGAACTGGCATCGTTTCACTAGTCTTGATATCTCAAGGCCTCCAATGTATCTCTTGTACAGCGGGCTCGACAGGAAATTCCACGCACTCCCAAGCTCGCCTGCAGGAACATATATTTGTATGCATATGAGCTCTCAAAAAAAACTCTCAAAACTCTCCGCAACTCTTGGACAGCGGATGTCCTGCTGTTTGCTCTTCTTTGTCACCCATGGATCCTGCAAAACTGACAGTTGAGAACCGCGCAATTGCTCCTGAAAAGTGTAAAGTGGTCAATCCTGGCACTGGCTCCGCCAAGGGTGGCTTTCCTGGCCATTCTGAAGTCTGGCAAAAGTCCAAACTCTGAAAACTCTCAACTGAAGAAAAGTTTGCGTAGTCAAACAACTCTCAGAACTCTCACAACGCTGCAACTCTCCAAACCCTCAGTCCCTTTATCGTGGCCTTTTGGCTGCTTT